CCGGATCCATTCGATCTTCTCAGGCTGTCCGGGTTCCGCATTGTCGCATTGCAACCATGCCCCTTTAACCTCATCGAAGGGAACGACGTTCTCAACCAATAGAGACCCAGTCGCTGAGATGAGAAGTCCGTACTCCTGCAGCTTCCACACCGGAATGTAGAGAACCACTGGGCGATCCCTCATTGCGACCTTACGACCCAGCCAAGGTTTACCCTTGTAGCCCTGTTCCCAGGCCCATGGCGGAAAACATGTGAAGTGGATAGAATCCCTTCCCGATGAACCGAGACCTCCCGGCACTAGCCCTCGTCGCATGATTGAAGTCAGCGCTCCGAGATTGGTAGCGTGAAATGCAGTCACCATAGATAGGGCCATGTCGTTGGTCATTCTCGACCCAATGTGGTCGATGTCAATGGTAACGTCATAACCTCCGCCGTCTGTTGAGTGTGCCGAGGTTGCTCTTACAGCCACGGGGCTATGGTGGAGTCTTCCTTTAGAGATTCCCATGTCCTTGAGTTCGTTAATCCATCCCTTCTCCATCGGGTCATCAGGCTCATTGAGTTCATCAGGGTGAACACGGACCGCTAACATTTGGAATCTGACCCTCTTGGTCATGCGGAAACACTCATAGTTTTGGTCGAAGTACTTCTCCAAACGCGCCTTCTTGGTCACGATATCTATGTTGCCGTAGTGATAACCGTCTTCCCAAACTGCATTATCACCTAACAGGTCTTCCCATGACACCCATGCGCCTTCATCGCATTTGATTGGTGCGAGTCTTCCTCCTGTCCTGAACTGGCGTCCAATTCGATGTCTCAACTTCGCTCCCAATCGACGACTCAGGGCCTGGCTCGTTTGGCTGTATTCACGTACTCGACAGTCTGGAGTCGGATACTTGCGGTTGCCGTAGTCGGAGTTCTTTGCAGCGAAAGTGACTCCGTTGATCGGTACTAGTTCAACTTTCCCGACCATCGTCATGGGGTCGATCGGCTTGTATCCCTTCTCCCTCCGTGTTGGTAGGGGATAGAAGTGATGACATGCCTTTGGTGTGAGGGAACTGGAGTGCACAAATGCCTTCTCGACAAATTCATACACCTCTTTCATATCCTTAGGGCCTGCTTCCACAAGCTTCCGCCCATTGTAGGAATGTGGTCCTCCTTCGACTCCATCAGCACTTTCGATCAAGGTGAATCCGTCATGGTCGAACATTGTCACGACTCTTGCTTTTAACATTTCTTTGCGCCTGAACTCGCTGTCGACCTTTCTATCTGGAGTGGGCGACGCTCTCTGCTTCTTCTTCTTAGGCTGTTCGGTTGGATGTCCTGATGGTACATCGTCGGGTGCAACCTCTCCCTTCACTCTCTTCTTCCAATCACTCAACACCGAGGTGACTGTAGGTGAGGATGAAAGGGTCTTCTCGCAATTGAGAGTTGTGTGTCCCGACTCCATGCAGTGGATGCAGAATTCTGCCCGCCCGATCTTCTTCTCAAATTCGTCGATGGCATGCAGTATTGATGCCTTCGGGTCGGACATGTCAACATCTTGCTCCTCCTTCTCCTGTACACATTCAGTCTCCATATCGACACCTTCGGCCTCGGGCTCGCCAGTGGCTCCTGTTCCCTGTTCTGGTTCTTTTCCGATTTCGAAGAAGTGGTCGATGTCGAATTCAGGAAGCGGCATAGTCCTCATGCGGACGAGAATCAGCGCCACGCTTGCCGCCTCATCAGAGTGCGGGTCCATGGTTCTAATCATCGATCGCTTTCGGTTCTCATATGTTGTCCTGTCGTACAGCGATGCAGTGACGCGTTTGATGGATTCCTCTAATCCCGTCCTCAAAGCTTCGATGTCACCCCATCTCCTGAACATGTGCCTGAAAAGTTGAGCAACTTCGAACATGCCCAGCAGCGCTTCCACCATGTCACCTACCCGTTCCTCCGTGGGATCATCTCCGAATATAGTGCGGAATACATCGGGTTCCAGTATGGTCTTGAGGTATTTGGTGTAGCATACGTTGCCAAGGTCATAGGATCCCTGGAAGTACTTGGCGCTGCCGATTTTCTGCTTTTCCACATGGATGCTGGGTCCTCTCCTCGTTTTGAAGAAGTTCTCCGTCATTGTTGATGACAACCTGATCCCCCCGAAGAACGAAATCTCCTTCTGGAAACCTGGATTCTCATTGAAGATGATCATCGCCTCGTGTAAAAACTTCATCAAGTCATCGTGCGGGTTCATCTCGGAGATTACGATGGTGGGAGAAGATACCGTTTGCCCCATGCCGAAGTTGTGAAGCAATCGAGCACATGCATGAAATCGCTTCTGGACGTAGTCTTCTGCGGACATCCCACGGCATCTGTTTGCTGCTCCGTTGATGCATTCCGTATAGCAATCGTCTTTCAACTCGAAGTCTATGGGATTGCAGAACAGACAGTAATCGCAGCAAATTTCCTCACCCTCCTTAAAGTCATCAATGACGTACCACCTTTGAGTCCTTGAGTATATTGGTTCTGGTTGAAGGACTCCCCAGTACTCATCCATCCATGGCATTTTGTTCTCTCTCCTTACCTTCTCCCTCTTCCTCCTCTCAGACTCATTCTCACCTGAAGGCTCCGCAGTGGACTGATAAGCATGGCTTCCTCTCACGGAATCTCCGAACAAGTACTGATACAACCTCTCTTTGTCCTGCAACACGTGTTCCAAGTTGGGATCATGGAGGCTATTCGCTTCGGTCAAGGGATCCGGTGCCATAAAGCAAGAAGCGAGCATCTTTTCTCTGAACAAGTGCTTTTCCATGACAGCGTGGACCA